TATAATAATGTATATTACTGTATAATAATCTAAATTACTGTATAATAATGTACATTGCTGTATGATAATGTACATTGCTGTATAATAATGTATATTACTGTATAGTAATGTATATTACTGTATAATAATGTAAACTACTGCATAATAATGTATATTGCTGTATATTTGCTGTATTTTAATGTATATTGCTGTATAATAATGTATATTAGTGTATAATAATGTATATTGCTGTATTTTAATGTATATTGCTGTATAATAATGTATATTGCTGTATAATGATGTAAGTTTCTGTATATTTTCAGAGACCATTATTTCCTATCAGAATGAAGTATGAAGTAAAACAAGTTGGATCAGCAGGAAAAGTTATTACACTAAGTTCAGCTTTGATGTTGGTGAATAAACTAGACAGCCCTGTAGAGTTGAAACTAGAACATAATGATCTATCAGGTAGGCTAACTGGAAGTAACTTATTGCTTAATGTGCCAAAAATCATTAGATCTCTTTACATGGCACAATTTTCCTAGTTTAACAATTTGTGGCAGTGGGTGCTAATCATCTTTCCTCCTTATTCCATGTGATACAACTGGAAATGGGTACTATAAATAAGAGAAAGACCATAGCCAAGAGGTCAAGGATCAGCTGGTAGAAAAGATCCTCGTGAAGTTATCCTTGTAAATAATTGTTGTTTCTCTATTATAGGTCAGTATGAGAGTATGGTGATATTGCCAGACACCCCCACCCCCTTACCTCTTTATTCTGTATATTATAAATTATGGGCGCGACCATTTGAACTGTCACTCAACTATTGTGAGCAACCAATCAAATGGCTGCATGTTATCAATAAAGGTCAAATTGATGATAGTATTAAACAGTGTAATCCAATAGAAGGACATGGCGTGTATCGGTATGTATTATTTTTATTTTTTTATTTCATACTGGAACTATAAAATATATTTTCAGGCTGTCCATTTTAAAAGTTTCCTTGACAGTTTGAAATAAAACTAATTTTCCTCATTGCACACTGCTTGCTTCATCAGCCAAATCAGGAGCAGAAAGCTGGATAATAAAACTCATTTCATTTCTGATATTTTTTTATTTAGAGCCTTCATTCAGTGTGTATGGTTAGCAACACTCATAATCTGATAATTCTTCTTGCAATTTTAATTTAGTCGAGCTATTACAACCTTCTTCTTATACCTTGACTGCAATAGTCACCACTCATGTATCAGCATATACAGCTCTGTTGCTCCAATCAAATAACTGCATTTACAAACTTGTGTGATACAGAAAAGACTGCTATTGTAGTCAAGGTATAGGCTGAAGAGAGTAATAGCTTGATATTATGAAGATGATGAACGAAGTAAAGTAAACGACCTTGCTGATCAGGAGCCTGAAGTGGGTACTGGGAATATTCTACAGTTATAAAATAGATAGTGTTGTATTTTGACAGATTCTGTGTTTGTGTAAGAAGAGAGAACTATCCTACGAATGAAGAAGTAGCCAATGAACTGGAGCTAGAAGATCCATTATCAATGCCAAACATTCCTGGACATACAATCACCTTATTACCTCCCCTGACGATACAGAGTCTTCTACCAATCGAATTACATTATTATTTAAAACATACCAATATCTCTAGTAATAAAGCTGGTAAACAGACAGCTATACATGGTGTAAGTTATATTAGAATAACATTATTATATAAAACATACCAATATCTCTAGTAATCTAAAAGCTGGTAAACAGACAGCTATACATGGTGTAAGTAATATTAGAATAACATTATTATTTAAAACATACCAATATCTCTAGTAATCTAAAAGCTGGTAAACAGACAGCTATACATGGTGTAAGTAATATTAGAATAACATTATTATATAAAACATACCAATATCTCTAGTAATCTAAAAGCTGGTAAACAGACAGCTATACATGGTGTAAGTAATATTAGAATAACATTATTATATAAAACATACCAATATCTCTAGTAATCTAAAAGCTGGTAAACAGGCAGCTATAAATGGTGTAAGTAATATTAGAATAACATTGTTATATAAAACATACCAATATCTCTAGTAATCTAAAAGCTGGTAAACAGACAGCTATACATGGTGTAAGTAATATTAGAATAACATTATTATATAAAACATACCAATATCTCTAGTAATCTAAAAGCTGGTAAACAGACAGCTATACATGGTGTAAGTAATATTAGAATAACATTATTATATAAAACATACTAATATCTCTAGTAATCTAAAAGGTGGTAAACAGGCAGCTATACATGGTGTAAGTAATATTAGAATAACATTATTATATAAAACATACCAATATCTCTAGTAATCTAAAAACTATATGACGTAAAATAATTAGAAATACAGTTATTGCCCTTGTCTCCAAAATAATAACAGATAGATTATCATAATGTATTTTTCAGGCTGATATAACTAAAGATTTTGAAGTTGGGATTCATCTGGAGAATTTTGAGTCATGTAGAGAAGTGAACATACCACCCAAACTATCTTATAAATATCGTGTAAGATTACGTCTCTATGATAAATTAGAGAGACTATTAGAATTAACTATGAGGATACAGTCTGGACCTGGTGGAACTATAGGGGTACGTATTACTGTGGCCAAGCTCGATTGGTGAATCCACATTCAGAATTCATAGAATAAAAGTTGGAACAGAGTACTAAATGAGTTCGATAACTTGTTCAGCTCTGACCAAAGGATCTACCAGCCTGACAAGTCATTAGGTTTTGGTTTTGGAACGACTGGATGATTTACAGTGAGCCATTGATAAATTCACTCAGTAGGCTAGACATGTTGTATTAGTGTCGATATAGTTTGCTCAGACTAATCTCCTACAGTTATTACAGTCCTTTTGTTTCTAATATATTACTCATTCAAATCATGGACTGAGATATTTAAGATCAGCTGATATCATGATGCTGTGGTTATTATCAATATGTAAGGTTTCTATGGTAACTATAATATTATATTGTAGGTTTCTATAGCAGCACCATATTGGATAGTAAATAAATCAGGATTACCGTTATTATTTAAACAAGAAGGAACTAAAGTAGAGGCAGCAGGACAGTTTGAAGAACATGAGTTCGCGAGAAGCGTGACACCGTTATTGTTTAGTTTCAATGAAAAAGATGAACCCAATCTGTATGTTGATCAACTTCTTTAAAATTCAGACTAAATTATTTAACCCCTTCAAACCGAGCAGTCGGTCAAATAACCGTTACCACATGACATCACTTAGCATTAACATTATACTCTTAAAGTTTTATTACTTGGAGTTCAGGGTATATGAAGTGTTATTTTATTAACACTCAGTGTTCAAAAGGTTAAACTTAAGGTTTTAGTAAAACTATGACTATGGTATTGAGGTATATAGTCATCTATTTGTATCTATGGCAATGAAAAAGTTTAAAATGAGAGCCACTTCATATCGTCGCCGAATACTTGGGTAGTAAATAAATTTAAAATCAAATATAAGGAGAGATTATAAGATTGATACTGTTTCATCTGGTGTCAAGTTCATTTAAAATTGGTGATAGTGGCCCCTATTTTATTTATTTTAAAACCAATCAGATCAGGCTGTGTATTCTCGAAACGATCTTAGTGCTAGGATGTCGTAGGTTCTTATCTTCTAACATTGATTCTAGGATATCCTAGGTTCTTATCTTCTAACATTGATTCTAGGATATCCTAGGTTCTTATCTTCTAACATTGATTCTAGGATATCCTAGTTTCTTATCTTCTAACACTGTTTCTAGGATATCCTAGTTTCTTATCTTCTAACATTGATTCTAGGACATCCTAGGTTCTTATCTTCTAACATTGTTTCTATGATATCCTAGGTTCTTATCTTCTAACATTGATTCTAGGATATCCTAGGTTCTTATCTTCTAACATTGATTCTAGGATATCCTAGTTTCTTATCTTCTAACACTGTTTCTAGGATATCCTAGTTTCTTATCTTCTAACATTGATTCTAGGACATCCTAGGTTCTTATCTTCTAACATTGTTTCTATGATATCCTAGGTTCTTATCTTCTAACATTGATTCTAGGATATCCTAGGTTCTTATCTTCTAACATTGATTCTAGGATATCCTAGGTTCTTATCTTCTAACATTGATTCTAGGATATCCTAGGTTCTTATCTTCTAACATTGATTCTAGGATATCATAAATTCTTATCTTCTAACATTGTTTCTAGGATATCCTAGGTTCTTATCTTCTAACATTGTTTCTAGGATATCCTAGGTTCTTATCTTCTAACATTGATTCTAGGATATCCTAGGTTCTTATCTTCTAACATTGATTCTAGGATGTCCTAGGATCTTATCTTCTAACATTGATTT